GGAAGAGGCACGGTCGGGTGGGAAGGGGGCACGGTCAGGGGGGAAGGAGCTTTCTGGGCAACGATACGGTCCTGGTCTGCAACCATTCAACGTCTGCAGAGCAGGAGTGCATTTGAATCCAAGCAGCTCATTAAAACCAGGAGAAGCTCGAGCCAAGGGTACCCTAAAGCATCCCCTACAGGAAATCGCGGCGCTGCTGCCTTCCTTACAGCTCGCGGCCGTTGCCATCCCACCCCTTGAGCACGCACAGGATGTTTTGAGATAAATCAGTTGTACAAGCCAACGTGGGAGCAACACAGATACGAATGGGGCGGCTTCTAGGAGAAACCACTTCTCCGTAGCTGAGGATCCCAGAAAACACTAATTTTTCCCTTCTTCCCTCCGTATCGCAGAGATCCAGTCTCAGCTTCGCATGGCGACACACGGCGAAGGGGGTTTCACCGTCTTCGTAGGTCTTAATGGCTCAAGGGAGGAGCTGGGGCTGGAGCCCACCAACTACTTCATATATGCAGGAGATGACCTGGACGAAATGTAGGTTTGGCTTCACCTTAGACGTGCTTCGTTAAGCGTGAGGAGATGAATTCCTGGGTGGTGACTCAGAAAATGCTCTTGGCAGATCCTCGCTGCACGGGGATTCGGACGTAGCAAGTATTCACGGCAAGGCTTGCATCGAAACCCACCTCAAACCCTCGTGTATCTCCGCAGAATGAATCGCTACCTGGCTTCTTCCAGAGAAGAAGCTGCCAAGAACATCCCTCTCCTGTTTGTCACCTGCCCGTCAGCCAAGGACCCCACCTGGGAAACGAGGCACCCAGGTAAAGGCTGAAGCCCGGCCACACGCGCTTGGGAGCGGCTTGAAAACTCTTGCTGTGGTTTGGTTTGTTTGTTTGCGTTCCCCAGGGGACAGTTTTGGGGCCGGTCTTGTTCAATATCTTTATCGATGATCTGGACGAGGGGATCGAGTGCACCCTCAGTCAGTTTGCAGACGACACCAAGTTGGGCAGGAGTGTTGATCTGCTCGAGGGTGGGAAGGCTCTGCAGAGGGACCTGGACAGGCTGGATCGATGGGCCCAGGCCAATTGTATGAGGTTCAACAAGGCCAAGTGCCGGGTCCTGCACTTCGGCCACAACAACCCCATGCAGCGCTACAGGCTTGGGGAAGAGTGGCTGGAAAGCTGCCTGGCGGAAAAGGACCTGGGGGTGCTGGTGGACAGCCGGCTGAACATGAGCCGGCAGTGTGCCAAGGCGGCCAAGAAGGCCAAGGGCATCCTGGCCTGTATCAGCAATAGTGTGGCCAGCAGGAGTAGGGAAGCGATCGTGCCCCTGTACTTGGCACTGGTGAGGCCGCACCTCGAACACTGTGTTCAGTTTTGGGCCCCTCGCTCCAAGAAGGACGTCGAGGGGCTGGAGCGTGTCCAGAGAAGGGCAACGAGGCTGGTGAGGGGTCTGGAGAACAAGTCTGCTGAGGAGCGGCTGAGGGAACGGGGGTTGTTCAGCCTGGAGAAGAGGAGGCTGAGGGGAGACCTCATCGCTCTCTACATCTCCCTGAAAGGAGGTTGTAGCGAGGGGGGGGTCGGTCTCTTCTCCCAAGGAACAAGCGACAGGACGAGAGGAAACGGCCTCAAGTTGTGCCAGGGGAGGTTTAGATTGGATGTGAGGAAAAATGTCTTTACTGAAAGAGTGGTGAAACATTGGAACAGGCTGCCCAGGGAAGTGTGGAGTCCCCATCCCTGGAGGTATTTAAAAGACGAGTAGATGAGGCGCTTGGGGACATGGTTTAGTGGGCATGGGGGTGTGGGGTCAACGGTTGGACTTGATGATCTTAGAGGGCTTTTCCAACCTCAATGATTCTATGGTTCTATGACCACAAATGAGGAGTTTCTCCTAAAATAGCCACGGTCAAAGCTGCTGAGCAGGTTGCTCGTGGAAAGCAGTCTTCAAGATAACCGGACGGGGATATGGGACCACAAAGACCGAGGGACATCCCGGGTGTTCGCATGGGGCGGGTTGGGTTTGTGGCAGCGGAATGGTGGCATGAGGGTGGGCAGAGGGACAACCGCCCCAACCTTGTCCTGCTGCAGGTAAATCCACGCTGGCCATCGTGACCTTCGCCAAATACGAGTGGTTTGAGGAGTGGAAGGACAAGCAGGTCAGTAAGCGGGGAGATGATTACGAGGAGTTGAAGAAAACCTTTGTGGACACCATCATGCAGGCCGTCTTCAAGCTCTACCCTCGCATCGAGGACAGGGTGAGGAAACCTGGGGTTCGCGGTTCCTCCAGCTCCTCTTCTGGGTCCTGTACACCCAGCCCCTTCCTGCAAACGTAGGAGCAGGGTCTGGGTCTGCTGGACATGAGGTCCAGCACCAACCCATCGCTGCTGCCTCCTGACCACGCATGGTGCAAGGCAGGGGTATGATGATCCTCCAGGACCATCCTGGGACCAAACTTGGCCAGAACCACCACCCAAGGGGTCTGCAAGGAAACCTGTCCCAGCCCGTAACCCCACGAAAACAGCTTTCTGGAGCACAATGAGTCGCCCCGCACCATCACACCTACCCCATGCAGACCACGTTGTCCCCTCGTCCTCCCCCAGATCGAGTACATCTCCGGAGGGACGCCCCTCACCAACCAGCACTACATCGCCAGCCCCAGGGGGGAGATCTACGGCATCGACCACAACATTGCCCGCCTGCAAGCCGAAGCCATTGCCACCGTGAGGGCGCAGACGGCCGTCCCCAACCTCTACCTGACAGGTACCGTGGCCACCACCCAGACACCACGTTCTCAGATGAGGACGCCTCTGGGGAAGCAGGGTATGGGGGGAGAAAAACCTTCGATGAAATAAGGGGACAAGCCGCTGCCGTGCCACGGGGTGACGCAAGAGCCGGTGGAGCGCGTCTAAGCGGAGCTGCATGGTCCCAACGGGAGGAGGAAAGGGCTGTGCCTCCTCCAGCTCCTGGACGTCGTCTCCCTGCCCAGGGCTGATTTGTTTTAGCTGGGCAGGATGAGGGCCTTTCCCTGCGGGGGAGGAGGAAGAGGGGTCCAACAGGGAGGGGTTTTGTGGATTCAAACCCAAGGGTCGGCGTGGGGGCAGCTGGAAGGTGGGGAGGGCGGATGATGGACGGGGACGGTGATGTCCAGCAGCGTTGAGGGTCAGCTGGGGACAGAGCGTGGGGGCTGCCCTCGGGTCGTCCCCAACCCAGCCACTGCCATCGCCGCCTCCCGCTCTCTTCCAGGGCAGGATTTGTGCCTGGGCGGCTTCGTGGGAGCCCTGCAAGGAGCCCTCATCTGCGGCAGCGCCGTCCTCAAGCGCAACCTCTACGCCGACGTGGCACGGCTGAAAAAGCGCACGCAGGCCACCGACTCTAAGAAGAGGGACTAACGCCTGCCGTCCCACCGGCCAGGACCTCCCTTTCCCTCCGGCGCCTTATTTTCCGCTCCAAATCACCCGTAGCACATCCTTCTCTAATGCAAAGCCAAAGGGTTACAGCCCAGGAAGGCGCCGTACCCATTTCCAGGCAGCTTGGAAACCTTCCCCACCCACCTTGCCCTGGACCTTACCCACCTAGAGCTCACCTCCTTCCACCACGACGCCCACCGCTAGCGAGTAAAAGCCAGCGCTTGATCCCTGGCCGCCCTTTTGAGGGCAAAAACCCTTCTCCCGCTGGAGGGAAGAGGGGCTCCAAGAGCTGCCATGTGCAGCAGCGGCCAGGAGAGAAGTCAAGGCAACCCCAAAAACCAGGCTGCACCAGAAGGCAAAAACCCAACAGCTTCTACCACCAACACCCACGGCCGCTTCATCCCCACTAGTGTCCAACAGCCGACTGGACCATCGGAAGAGCATCAACCTTCACCTGCATCCCCCAGAGCCGCTGGGTCAAGGGGAGCGAGCCCCCCGGGGATGCTTTCCCCCCCCCTTTCAGACGGCGGCTTCGGTGCAGAGTTGGGCTCCTAAAGCTTCACTGGGCTCATGAAGCTCCACGTGGGAGTCAGCAGCCCCGGGGGTTGTGGAGGCAGAGGAAGCAGCACCTCCCCGAGACGGGGCTGTGCACGGGCTTGCCCAGGCAGCGGTTTGCTAAACCCCCGCCAGCCGCTGGACGGGCACCGGCTGCATTTAAGCAAGGGGAAAATCACGCCAACCTAAGCCCCGTCGCTGTGTTTTAACCAAGACACCCGGGAGAGGCTCACAGACGCGGTCCTTTAGGAAGGAGCCGGCTCCTGGCTCACCGGGGCGGCGGAGTAAGCGGGTCCTTCTGGCACGCCAAGGCCAGGCGTGGAGGCTGGAGTGATTTAAGCCAGGTTTAAAGCTATTTAAGAGCAGCGGTGCTTGCTTCGCTGTATGGCGCTTTCAAAGTCAGGCCTTGCTGCAGCGGCGTAGCAGGACCAGCGTGCTCGGCAGTGATGCAGCCCCTCAGCCCCGTGACGCTGCGATATTTCAGTGCTGCTCTACCCTCCATCGCCCGGAGACGTGCGATGGTGCAAACACCCGCTCCTTTAGCAATAAAAAAAGTCCAGCCCTTCTGTCTGCTGGGAAAAGCTTGGGAACTCAAAGCCCTCTCCAAATGGGAAGGGAAGCACGTGAGACCAGAAATAAATAATCATCATCATCATCTTGTGATTTGCGCCTTGTGACACGGGATCAGCAGGGCTGGGGTTAGGGTGGCGTGAGAGGGCTGCTTTTCGACACCGCAGGTCAGCAAGTTTGGGAAGGGAAGGAGAGAGGGGGTGCAGTTGAGACCCGTCCTCGTGAGCGCGTCGTCGCTGGGGGCTCATCCTGCACCAGCGCGGAATGTTTTGGGGAGGAATAATTGCAGCAGTGCCATAAATGGGTACCCCAAGTGGGTAAAACCAGCGGGCAAGTGCCTGCTGCCTCCCCGGGAGCGGGCAGGGTTAGGCAATAAGCAACACTGGCCAACAAGCCCTGCTAGGAGCTCGCGGGGGAAGCTGGAAGGGGCCGTTTTCCCCGCGGTCAGCGACGGGAAGGAGGAATTGCCTGGCTTTTTGGGGAAACAGAGACTCAGACGGTGAGAAAGGCAGGGAGGGATTGCCTGGCTGCTCCCGGTGCTTCCCGCAACGCAGGCATTTCCATCCCCCAGCCCTCTCCACCCCCCCACCATCCCCTTGGAGAAAAAAAAGTCCTTTTTTTTTTTTCCCCCTCTCCTCCCCACATATGCCCCATATGCTCCAGGCCGGAGGGTGCCAGCCCAGCCCTCTCGCAGCCGGCGATGCCCACTGAACCCAGGGGCGAGCCGCGGCCCTCTCCTACCCCTGTGAGTCATGCCCAGGTGCCACCTCGCTCCCTCAGCAGGTGACAGGGCATCGCTCCTGCCTTGCCCTTGAAAATCAGCCACGCTGGTGCTGAGTCAGCCAGCGGAGCAGGGTACGTTGTCCCGGATTTCCCGGAGGAGGACTCCGGGCTCACCGCTAGACAAACCTGAGCCCCGCGCCGGCACGGTGGGGGTTTGGAGACCACCTACCCATCCGAGGGGACACCCCAGCATGTCCCAGCCAAGGCAAAGCCGGGCTCTTGTCATCGTCAACACCAATTTCTGCAGCAGCGACGGTGATGTGGTGTTTTGGCCCCGGGGAGGAGCCAAGAGAGAAGCGGAGAAGCTTTCCAACATACTCTCACGGCTCAACTACAAGGTGAAGCTGATGCATAACAAGACAGCCAAGGAGATAGAAGACCTTTACCAGCAAGGTACACGTCCCCCCTGCCAGCCCCTAAACCCCCTCCTTGTCTTCCCCCAAGCCCAGCTACCTTCCCATTTCCCACCTCTCGGTCTAAGAACCCTCCGCCACACCCCGGTTCGATGCTCAAAGGCATCGGTTCGGCCGCGTCTTTGCAGAGTGCTGCCGCGAGCACGGAGAGTACTTCGTGAGCATCATCTCCAGCCACGGAAAGGAGGGGGTCATATTCGGTTGCGACTCGGAGCCGGTTATGCTGACCCGGATTTTCCAGATTTTATCGTCGAAGTGCCCGGTGCTCACCAAAATACCCAAAATCTTCTTTATCCAGGTAACACAGCCGCTGGATGATAATTTGATCCCCTTTTTCCTAAGTTTGTGCAGAATTAGACTGGCAGAAGCACGAGGCTTAAGGTTGCTGCTGGCATAAGTCTGTTCTAATCGTGGATTTTGCTACATCCGTGCGAGAGCTCCATCCTTTCGTCACTCCCCAGCTTCCCACCACAACCCTCCATCCCTCTTTTTTCACGCTTTCACCGATTTTGAGGTTTCTTTGCTGACTGCAAACACTCCTCTCCCAGCCCATCATCACCCACACACGTGTCCTTTCTTCGGGAAACAGCCTCGGTCTTTTCCCAGTGCCTCCAGACAGGAGCGTTTCTCCCGGTGGTTTGCACCCTCTGGACTACCTGGGCTGAAACCAAATTGTTTGCCGTGATACATGACATTGCTGGGATCAAACTCCCCCCCCCCCTGGGAAAAAAAACCCCCCCCCCCCCCAGACACCACCAGGATCTAGATGAATGGGTAACAGCTGCCTTCAAATCCCGTCACCGTGACATTTGGGCACAGCAAACTCCTGGGGTAGGGCTGGGAGAAGCCCAGCTATGAACTGGTGAGGTAGTAGGGGGGAAAAAAAGAAAAAAATAAAGCCCACAGCCGGTTCCCAAGCAGTGAAGCAGGGGGGAGCCTGAACATGCTCCTGCAGGAAAGGAGCCCTGGAAGTACGCTTTAACGCTGATCCGACAGGGAGGATTAGGTCGCTGAGCAAACTAATAGTTCTGCAACTGGATGGATACCAGCAGATAGCGTGAGCTCTTACGCAAATATACAGGAGTTTTTTCACCTGAAAGCAAGTATAAATTACTCACGGCATTCGTTTCCTTCTGGCAAAGGGCTTGGCCTCTGTTCAGGGAGCGGCGACAGCCGGGGACATCCCCCAGACGAGCCGACAAACCCGGAGGCTGGTCTGGGCACCTCGCTCAGCGGGCCAAGCTTGTGCTCGTGCTGACGAACGCTGTCCCTGATGAACCGCAGGGCTGGGGGTGCCCAGAGCCCAGGCTGGAAGAGAAGGGCTGCTTCCCCTCGGCATCACCACGGGGGGTAGGGCTGGGAGAAGCCCAGCTATGAACTGGTGAGGTAGTAGGGGGGAAAAAAAGAAAAAAATAAAGCCCACAGCCGGTTCCCAAGCAGTGAAGCAGGGGGGAGCCTGAACATGCTCCTGCAGGAAAGGAGCCCTGGAAGTACGCTTTAACGCTGATCCAACAGGGAGGAGTAGGTCGCTGAGCAAACTAATAGTTCAGCAACTGGATGGATACCAGACCAGCAGATAGCGTGAGCTGCAAATATACAGGAGTTTTTTCACCTGAAAGCAAGTATAAATTACTCACGGCATTCGTTTCCTTCTGGCAAAGGGCTTGGCCTCTGTTCAGGGAGCGGCGACAGCCGGGGACATCCCCCAGACGAGCCGACAAACCCGGAGGCTGGTCTGGGCACCTCGCTCAGCGGGCCAAGCTTGTGCTCGTGCTGACGAACGCCGTCCCTGATGAACCGCAGGGCTGGGGGTGCCCAGAGCCCAGGCTGGAAGAGAAGGGCTGCTTCCCCTCGGCATCACCCGGGTCCCCGCCCCTCCCGGTGGCCTCCGTCCACCTCTCCGGGCTGTTCAGTGCCAGGGTGTCGCAGCTAGCTTGCGGGCATCTCTGCGGGCCACGTCCTGAGCGAGTATTTACCGCTGGCGTTAGGCGGGGAGTTTGCACAGGGAGAGGTGAGGGGGATGCTCCCCTCTCCCCTAACGCTGGGAGACGTCTACCGCCGCCGTTCGGTCTGGTCCCAACCAACACGTCCCGGCAGAGGTGGCTCCAGGTAGGGGTGAAACGTGCCCTCAGAGCAGCCTCAGCAGCTCTAGTGCCTCTCCAGCACCTTCCCAACACCAGCCCGGTACTCCGTCCCCGCAAGAAAGACCAAGCCACCATGTAGAATAAAGGACTGTGCACGAACTGGGCTGCCCGCGGGCTGCGCTCCAAGGGGAGTCTCTGCCAGCACTTTCCCAGTGGGCTTTTGTGTTTCCGGGTGTATTTCTGGGTTCGCACGTGCAGCAACCGCATTTACCGGGGAGGGGAGGGGTAAACGCAAAGAGAAGGGGAACCAGCCTCGCGAGAAATGCGTAGGGAAGAGAGGAGGGAGCCCCATCTCTAGGCTCGTGGCAGGACAGGCTTGGCAAAGCTGAGCTGCAGTGGGTGAGAAGGGAAGAGGATGGTCGACGGACGAGATGGGAAGGGGATGGAGATGGGAGAGGAGTTGCGTGGGGCTGTAGGACTCGGGGAACGGGAGCTGGGAGGGGCTCTGCACCACGGGATGGGTTGTAGGCTTGGCTTGGGGAGGGCTACAGGTCCACAGGGAGCCCCCAAAGACCCCAGGAGCTTTAGGCTTGCCCTGGAAACGGGCAAAAGGGAGAGAGCAGAGCAGGGGGAAGCTCACGACAGCCGTTCTGCCCGCAGGCTTGCCGGGGGAAAGAATTCGACCAGGGGGTGGTTGTGGAGTGCGACAGCGGGGAGCCCGAGCCAGAGTGCGAGCCAGACTGCTTCTCAGACTACCTCTCCATCCCTCCTCAAACCGCCGTGATGTTCGCCTGCAGCCCAGGTAAGGGAGAGCCCCTGACACACCCAACGCCGGCCGAAAACGTTTCCTTTTGGAAACGTTGCCATCAGAGGGCCACGGCGCAGCCAACGTTGCTCTCCTTCCTTCACGCTCTGCAGGCTACGTGGCCTTCCTCAACATCTCCGGATCCATGTTCCTCCAGACCCTGCTCAAGGTCCTGGAGGGAGAGGAACGTCACCTGGCCCTCAACCGCCTCATGACCCGCATTAACTGGGAGGTGGCCTTTTGCTGCCAGGCCAGGGGCACCTATGAGGGATGCAAGGAGATGCCCTGCTTCGTCACCAACCTGCTGCAGGAGGTCTTCCCCTTCTCGGCGCCCATCATGGACGAGGCAGACGGTGTTTGAGAGCTGCCAGCTCTGCAGAAAAGCCCGAGGGGCGAAGAGCAGCAGCTTGGCTGCAGGAAGTCCCCTGTCATGCATGGAGAAAAAAAAAAAGGACAAGTGACAAGAAAACCAACAGAAAAGCCCTCTGGAAAGGTGACCAGCTCAACCTGGGACGTGCCGGAGCTACCCGCGGGGAGGTTTTAACAAGCCAAGTGCAGCTGGGGCAAATCTTACCACGGGACCTTCTGCAGAGCAGAAACGTCTGATTTAAGCACACGACGGTGCGGCGACACCCAAACGCCCTACAGCAGCAGCCCCACGCCACGGCTACCCACAGCTCCAGAGCGGGACGTAAACCTGCTTCTCCCCCTGATTTTCTTACACGAAAGAGCTCCAACCTTGCAAATGCAATCTCACCCATTTTTTTTAATTTTTTTTTTTTTTTTGAAATCTAAACAAACCTGCACAGGCCATGGACTTTTGTCTTACAGAGGCAAAGCTGATGTGTTTACCTGGCTGGCGCCCTACCCATAATGAAAACAGTGCTGCCCTGCTGTAAAGATCACCTCATGCTCGAGCTGTTTGTTCACAAGGCTGTTTAAAAATTCAAGGCTTTAAAACAAAAATCAAATATAGGGTGGTTAGCAGGATTTGCAGGTTGGTGGCTTAAGCTGGGACCTGGAGCAGAGGTCAGGGAGTGGATTAGGGAGCATTTGCTCAAGGTAGTTCATGATGAATAACTGGGTCTTTGCGAGCTTCTTTCTTACGTGAGGCAAGGGGAGAGGGGAAGAGCTCCAGCCGGGACGCGAGCAGAGGGAACGGATGGGCCGGGACACCTCGTGGACCTGATGTATTTGCTCAAGGTCCTCTCCTCCCGTTCTCTCTTTGGTACCGAGAATAAGCACAAAAGCCACGTCAACAAAAAAGCCTGAACGGCTCCTGCGCAAACACAGGGACATCCCTGGTCTGCCAGACAGGGGACCGGTCCTCAGACAGCCGCAGGAGGAGGGAGGGGTTGAAGGGGGCGAAGACCTCCTCCGAAGCGGGTAGAGTTTCACCCTGCGCCCATGCATGAAGCCTGCGCCGCCTCCACCCTAAGGGCCTCTCGGTTAAACTCTGGCCGCATCCGTATTTCTCAGCGTAGCCCCGAGCAATTCAGCTCCGATAAGCAGAGCCCAACCCAGCCGGCAGATAAATTTGGTTTCGTTTAGCATTTTTTCCACTCCTGGACTTTGAGTCACGGGTAGGCGCGCGGCGCAGCTACCCCAACACAACCCACGCTCGGCACTCACCGCGTCCCAGCACGCGTGACGGGATGCTCAGCGCCGCTGCCTCTCTCCCTTGAGGGACCTGCAGGGTTGTTCCTTCCCCACTACATTCGCTCTACCTGCGGGAATAAAATAGTTGAGATCTTTACAGCACTCTCAAATCAGGGTGGAACTGGGCAAGGGGTTCAAAGAGCTTTTGGAGCACAAATCAGTAATTCTAGGGCGATTTCCCGAAGAAACAAAAGAGACACAGCAGAGCGGTGCTCTGATCTCCTCTCGTAGGAAGGCTCGGATGAGTGCTCAGTCCGACAACCCCATGTGCAGATGAACGGAGAATTTTCATTTCAATCCCCCACTTCCACCCTTTTTCCCCTCCCTCAAGCTCTCAGCAACCCCGACAACAGGAAAACAAGCGGTCCTCCCTTTTTCCTAGCCCGTCCTCTGCACTCACTGCCAGGCAGCTGGCGTCCAGCCGAGTTGGAGGAGAGTGCAGGAGGGTGGATTTTCTCCTTTTAGGGAAAAAGTGGGGGAAAGGAGAAAGTTTCTTCCATTTACTGCCGGAAGCAGCAGTAAACGCTACCCAGAAGCGCCCTCATCATCCGCTGTTGATCATGGCACCTTCTCCTTCCCCTTTCCACGGCTGGTCGGGCAGCAGCATCCCACGCAGGCTGCTCTCGCCGCGGGGGAACAGAAGTGGCACCACCGGGCTCTCTCTTTTCCAGTCTCTTCCCAGTCTCCGCTGCTCAGAGGAGGCAGGCTGTGCTGGGATCCGGGCCGCGTCCGCCTCAGAGCCTCCCTGTGGGTGAAAGAAGAAATACAACGGGAGAGATCCACAACCGAGCTCCGTCAAACGCAGGTGAAACTCTGTATTAAGGTCAGGTCCTAAATAACCCCGCTCACCACCACGCGTACGAGGGACCGAGCCGGTCAAGAAGAACGGGGCTGCCGACACAGGGTGATCGTGAAGCAGACTGGAAACTTTTCAGATCCGCTCTCGGCTGAAACCCGTCTCGGCTCCTTCCGTCTGCAGGGGTAGCTGGTCACGGGAGGGCCAAGTCTGCACGTGCAAACCGAGCACGCAAAGCTTTGAACACAAACCACTCAGCTCAAAGAGAGCTGTTTTTGTCAAAACCGTTGGTTTTTTGGTTTTGGTTTTTTTTTTTTTGCACAAAGAGGAACTAACCTGCACCGCTGTTGCCAGGTCTCAAAGGAAACCATGAAAAGAACACGCGCAAAAAAAGAGGTGAAAACTCCTCACTCGTTTTTCTTAAATCCATTTATTGACTTCACCACACAGGGAAAAAAAAAAAAAAGTACAAAGAAATATAAAAATTCTGATCCTTCAAAGCAAGTTGCATTTCACTGCAGCAGAAAACAAGCCATTTGCTGATTCGAACCGGCAAGGCAGCTGGCCTAAAAGTAGTAACATCTGGCAAAAAACCCTATGTACCGACAGATACCATCCCTTCGAAAACGTGTTGTGTCCAAAGGGAAAAGGTTACGCGCACCTTGACCCGTTTGAAACACATTGCATAAATTTAAATACCATAAAAATCAGCAAACCGGGGGTCATCCCCAGAGGTTTCACGCAGCTCGGACAATTACAGCTGGGTAGGAGGAGATTTAGGGGGGAGTCCCCCCGTTTAGCCGGGCGTGAGCTCTGCCTCTCCCCAGACCCTGCACTTCCCGGGCACTGAGCAAACCAACAGCTTGAGGTGACGTACGTCCTCGTTAACCTGACGAACGAGCTCGTGCTCGGTCCGACCTGACGATCGAGACGTTTGAGGTACGCGACGGTCCCGCTCTCCAAAAGAACTCCCTCGCTTCGGCTTGCTGTTAATAGCTAACTGCCGGTAACGGGGGTGGGATTTCCAGCACAGCTTGGAACGAGAGAGGGCTGAAAGGCATCTGAAAAAAGCTCGTGGGATAGAAAAGCAAGAGACGGTGAAAAAAAAAAACAAACCCCTCTGTAAATCATTTTTCAATTTAAAAAAAAAAACCAAAAGAACAGGACAAAGCCGGAAAACGGCGTGCACGCTTTAAAAATTCAGGAATGAGCAGCTCAGAAGCACATGGTATTTCACATGTTGGAATACGTTTTCACCCCCCCGTCATTAGACAAAAGCCACCACCTCCCACCCCGCATCCTGTCCATAAATCAGCCGCACAACCTTATCCTACGGGATCTCTGAAACAGTGGAGTCTTGTTGCAGGAGTTCCCACCCTTTTCAGAAGGCACATTTCCCCCAAGGGTTACGTTCCCAGACTTGTTTTCCTTTCTCTTCCCTCCACCTCACACTCCCGTTCTCCAAAATAGCTTCTGCAAGTACTTTTAGCATCAGAAAAGTTTACTACGGAAACCCTGAAAGCTATTTAAAGCCAAGAGGGACTTTCTCCCGCTCTCTGTGCTTGCTAACAGCCAGCAAAAAGAAAAAAAAAAAAAAAGAAAGATTTTTCTTTTAAGAGAGGGTCAAGCCCCTTCTCCCCTCTTACGTGGGGAATAAAAAAAAAAAAAATACAGCTGTAGCTTTCATGTCCAGACAAGGAAACGACTTTGCCCTTGTCAAACGTGACTATCTTTAGCAACCACAGGGCAGATTACCAATTGTTCGCAACCTCGGGAAGGCCGGAAAAAGGCCGGCCTCATCCCGCAAGTCGCTTTCGCAGCCAGCTGGGGGGAAGTTAACCCGACCAGGATTCTTCCTGTGCAGTCAGTCGGCAAGTGCACGGAGAGGGTGACTCACGTACGGCTGGCACGAGCTCTAGAAGAGTGTGAAGAGCTCTAGATACCTCATACCAATTTTTTTTCTGCCCATATTGGGAAAAAAAAAAAACAAACCAAAAGCACGAGCCGGGCAGGCACTTCATGCCCTCTTCAGAAACGTCCCGTCTCAGACAAATATCTTTGGAGTAGAACTACAAAAATAAAAACAACCTCACAGCTATAACTCGTGAATCAACGTGTTTTGCAGCCTTAAACATAACCAGTACGTCCCAGGCCCTAGTTTAAGTGCTCCGCAGTAATACCGAAGCGACCAGCTCAGCGACAAGCAGCTGGTCACGTGTACATTCAACCACACAAAACCCCTCAAAGCCGGGGCCGGCAGAGCCGCGGAAGAGCGGGAAGAGGTTGCGCCGGCTGTACAATAAGCCCTTTCACATGTCGGTCACCTGCTCAGGAGGTGACCCCGGGGAGGAGACGCCCCGTGGTGACTCACAGGCAGAAAAGACGTCACCCACGCCGCGGGCTACAACGGTTTCCCAAGGCGAGAGGCGCTCGGCAGGCGCGGCGCTGCCAAGGCTTGCGCGACCCAGGGGACGAGCAGCCGCCTCGCCTCTCAACCGGGCAAGGAAGCGGCATTCCTCCAGCCAGAGCCAACGCCGAGCGCTCAGTCGCAGCGAGCTCTACAGCCGATGGAAGCTCGTCCAGTGGAGCCGAATACTCCAAGGTCTCAGTACCGCATTTTTGAGGAAGAGGTTTGAATGACCGCAAGTTTCATTCATCCCAAACACTTCGGGATTACCGGAGGTTTTACGTTACCACATGACTACATTTTACAAGGGGTAGGAAAGCAATCTGCCAAGGCAACGTCTGCTACAACGACACGGCGGCAATTTGGCACGAAGCTTTCCAAGCCTAACCTGCCCTCCTTCACAGCATCACACCGCAACTGTCACCTTTAGTGCAAACATCTGAACTCCGGGGATTGTGAGGGAAAAGACCCGCGTGGAGCATAAGATGCAGGTGAGGAA